ATCCTCAGGGCCGGACTCTCACAAAGCGCATACCCACACTTGGCCCGGAAGGTGCAGTTCAACTTGCTACAGAAGCGCCTACTATGTGCGTTGCTGCAGCTGAGCGCATTGCAGCACACCGTGTAGCCGCAACCAATTCCTCGGCTTTGCCCGAGGCTGACACTAGGAAATGTACAATTCTTTGGATTCAACTGAGATGTCAGCTGAATCACGCCAGAGCACCATGGCTCGGACTTCCACGCATCTTGTGTGTACGGACCCCCTCGCCAAATTAATAGTACCCGTTTCCACGGGTAGTATTAAGTGCAGCAGCTTGCTTAAGTTTCAAAGTGGATGGTTAAAAAGCCCAACAAAACTTCGCCCGACATGCCTCTCAAAAGCACTTAAATTGACATTTCGTTGAGTCCCAACAAAATGGGAAAAGTGCCCGAGCAAGTCGGCAACCTCACGGTTCGCCAAGATGCGTGGAAGCCCGATCCATGGCACTCTGGCGGAATTCAGCTGACATCTCAGTTGAATTCAAAGAATTGTATATTTTCTAGTGTCAGCCTCGGGCAAAGCCGATGAATTGGTCGCGGCTGCACGGTGTGCTGCAATGCACTCAACCGCAGCAACGCACATAGTAGGTGCTTCTGTAACAAGTTACGCTTCACCTTCCGGACCAAGTGTGGATATGCGATTCGTGAGAGTCCGGCCCTGAGGATCAGTCGCAATACCAACACTGGGATACGTGGCATTACAGCAACTGCTGCTATCCAAAGAAACGCATCTGTGAATGACGCATCGAAGATGTCACTATAACTCAGAGATAGCTTGCTGAAAACGCTCAGCGGGAGCTCGGATTGCTTAAAGCACCAACACAAGGAGCAGTTTCAAACATATCGAAGGCTCGAGATCATCATCTTACCACTAAAGAGGCGATTTGGACTGTAAGTGTGCCGGTGTTGCTGCATTTCCCGTGGTGAATGAAGCGCTAGCCAATTGAGACTACAGTGCCAGTCTAAGTTTCCCTTAATGGGGACGTGGTCAAGAGTAAGGCAAAGCGTTTGGCTGAGCTGACGGGTATTCCTCCTGACCAGATTTTGCAGTTTTCGAACGGTTGGCTGCAATCATTTCGGAAGCGACATGGATTCAAGCACTTCAAAATGCATGGCGAGAGTGGCTCCGTCAACAATGAAGATATCCCCGCTCGGCGACAAGCCCTTCGAAAGCACCTCAACGGAGTCGCTCTGGCGGACATCTACAATATGGATGAAACGGGTCTATTCTACTGCACGGCCCCAGATAAAGCCACTACCCAGTGCAAGGTAGAAGGCTCCAAAAAAATAAAACTCGTATCACTGTAGCTTTCGCCTGCAATGATGGCGTCTCTGACAAGCGTGAGCCATTTAGCATTGGTCACGCTGCGAAACCACGCTGCTTCAAGAAAACGACTGGTGAGCAAATTGGGTTTTATTATGGCATCAACAAAAAAGCCTGTATGCCATGCGTGCTTTTTCAAGATTGGGTGCGTGAACTTGATAACGATATGTCCAGGCAGCAACGTCGAATTGTTCTTCTTCTCGACAACACAATCAGCATATATTGTTTCGAATCTGGAACGCAAGAGCGTCACTGTTCTCTTCCTACCTCCAATACAACTTCTCGACTGCAACCATTAGACGCAGGCATAATTGCCTCTTTCAAGCGACGATATCGCTACCGTCAGCTGGGCCATGCGCTGGATTTAGATGAACAAGGGACAAAAACGGATATTTACAAAATTGACCAGCTAACCGCGATGCGATGGATTAAGGCCTGTTGGAGGGAGGTTTCTACTGAGTGTAACCTAATCATGTTTAGTAATACCGGTCTTGTACCCAGCTGTACGGCATCACGCCGCGCATTGAAAGAAGAAAAAGGGCTAGACAAGGTTCTGGAGCAGCGTGTAGCTGCCCTGGGAATACGAGATCCAATGGATTTTGAAGACTTTGTATGCAATGCTACAGAGCAAGAAACTGAAATGGAAGTTGCGTCTTCGGATGACTTACTGAGTGATTCGGCTAGCCTCGCATTGCTGGAGTTGGTGCAGGAAGACCCCGAAGAAGTCTGTGAGTATGACAGCGAAGAGGCCGAAGAGCACGGACTCTCAGACACACTGTTGCCCCAAATGTCTGTTACCGATAAAGCTGACGTTGCTCGATCGGTAATATTCCTGCTAGCAGAACATCCTACGTTAAAGCAGCAGTGATGGAGAAACTTGCCGAGCGCTTGAAAGCGACACAGAGATTCGTGCCGGTGTACACACCGTGGATCAACGGTACTGTCGAGCGTGTGAATAGAGACATCCTGTAAGTAGTGCGTGTTATACTCATGCAATTCAAGCTGGACACCCGCAATTGGGTCGGCCTCCTACCTGTGATCCAAGCCAATCTCAGCCACTCGGCATGCCCATATTGAGCCTTTTACCGGTATACCGGCGCCATCCCTACTCGACATCGTGTCGGTTCCCACCGGCGACCCCTATTCCTTGTTGCCGGTTAATGTGGCCGCGACTACGCCGCACCTCGACAAGCTATGCGAGCTTTGCACGAGCTGCACTGCAATGTTGTCGAGCGCAAAGCTTGCCGCCGCTTGCAGGGAAAAGCGCGTGCCAAGGGCACAGAATGCAACTTTGAAGAGGGTGACTACGTGCTGTGGTCGCGTGTTGATAACCGCATGAGTCGCAACAAGCTCCTGGTCCGTTGGGATGGGCCGTTCTGAGTAGTTCGTACCCTTTCATATCCATTCATTGAGTCTCACATGCTCACGGATGACGAGTTCTCGGTGCACGGATCGCGCCTCAAGCACTACTGCTACACCGATCTCGGCCCCACGACCGAGATTCGTGAACATGTGGCAACCCAATGTATTGTGCTCGGTGTGCGAGATATTGTGGATCACCGCTATGACACCACGGCCAAGGAGTGGCAGCTTTACGTGACACGGCATGGATTTGAAGACGTGGAAAACTCGTGGGAACCATTTGCCGCTATCAATCGCGATATCCCTACGCTGATTCAGCAATACGTGCAGTCTGTGGAAGGTGCCGAGCTTTCAGTCATGCTGTAGCCCTGAAGTCTGCGACTTCAACGTCACGATCATTTTTGAGGTATTTGTCTTGTGTACAAAGACAGGGGCCAAGTTTCCCAATTTTCAAAATTCTGATTTTCAAGTTTCATTTTCCAGTTTCATTTTTATGTTTCGTTTTCGAGGCCAAGACTTCATTTTTAAGCTACCAGTTTGCGGTGTTCGTCTTGGGGGGCAGTGTTGAACGGCGATGGCGCCGCTTGTACCAGACGACACCAACGCAGCAGGCCAACTGGCCGGTCTCTGGTATACCGGGCTCATACCGGTATCCATTAGTGGGGTCCAGAAGTGGGCAGTGCTGGCGTGATGCAGGGGCGACGACGAGCGCGTGCATTCGAGCGCCGACGGAGGTCGCAGCAGCGGCGCTAGGCGGCGGCACGAGCCGGTACGATGGACTGGGCGAAGGTATGCAGCTGTGACAGTCATCGGCAGACCGGTGGCTCGCATGACGAAGGTGCTGGAGCTGAGGCTGTGGTCACGGGCGTTGCCGATAAGAACAGATTTGAACTCTAATCTCACTTCACAATTTACCTTTTCGAGCTCACATGCCATACTCAGTCTTTTCTCTAAGGAAAGCTCTGATCGACGTTTGCTTTCGGGCAGCGTCTCCTTCTTCCTGTAGATCGTATCGGACGCTGCTCTGAAGTACATGTAGGCTGCTCAGAACGCTAGCTTCCCCGTGCTCGTGCCGCCGTCCAGCGCCGCTGCTGCGTCCTCCGGCGGCGCTCGAAGGCACGCGTTCCTCGTCGCTCCTGCGTCACGCCAGTACTGCCCACTTCTGGACCCCACTAATGGATACCCGTATGAACCCGGGCTACCAGAGACCGGCCAATTGGCCTGCTGCGTCGGTGTCGTCGGGTATAAGCGGCGCCATCGCCGCTCAACACTGAAAAACACGAAAAAAAAGTTTCTTAGATATCAAATTTGGCAGCTATTAAGTATTACGCATACTAAACAAGGAAACGAACTTGGTGACTAATTTTACAAGCGGGATCTGCATCCCGAAGATGTGGCCGCGAGTAGAACAAAGCCAGGTGAGCTCGCCCGCGGACTCGATTCCGATCCTTTTAGTAAAAGGCTCTTAAATTAATCGATGTCGTCCCATTGCAAATGTAAAGATCGTACCAAGCTCCTCTTTATTTAAATGTTTGTATCGATGACTTGACTAAGTTATCCGCAGCTGCTGAACTACATGTACAATTTAGCTCCACACATTTTTTTATGTGAAGCTAAAAGAAGAAATCATGATCAATCGGGCACCATGTTTGGCGAGCCATATTTCAAAAACTATTATAATGACATCCCCCATACGTTAATGCGAGTACTATGCTAACACGTTATCCTGGTAGGGCTTCTGTGACGGCATCACACAGCACCTTGCGCTAGAGGAAGTTGACTTCCCAGAGCTTACAAACTCCAAGTGAACGGCAGTTCACAGGTCCCTTTTTGCCTAAGGGAGCGAAGTGACCAATTAAAGGTAAGTTGTAAGCTGAATATATGTATAGGTAGGCTAAGCTTGAGTTATATTTACAAACTATTAGTCACTTATAGAAAAGCAGTGTCATTAGCCAATGGTTGGCCTCGGACGACCCTGGTACCATGTACCAGATATTCCGAAGTATGACGTGTTAAACGTCATGTAACTAGGGTTACACTTGGGGCTGCGTACCCCGTTACAGCTTCAGAATGAGTCTTTTTGCCAGACAAAATGTGTGTCATACACCACACAGAGGTATACATAACTTAATTTAGACAGCTTATAAAAAGAACGGTTTGCATCAGATGATTACAGAAATCTGCCTGAATAAGGAACGCCTGATATAAATTAAGAAAGAAACTGCATAAGCTGACAATGCCTCGCTAAAAACAGACTATGATGTGCATGTATTGAATTAAGTTAGGATAAATTGAAGATTCGACTTTTGAATGAGACCAGAGTGATTCCAGCAGTGCTGAATCGTGGAAGCGCTAACTTTAGACCATGCAGCCTCGCACGAGAGCAGTGCAGTTAGCTGGTCGACGCTGTACGGGTTGTCGAGACCTTCGCCTAGGCGATCCAATGCGAACATCATTTTTTGCGATAAGCTGTAGCGTTTAATGCTATTGATGATGCCCTGATCCAGCGGCTGGATCTTGGCGGTGGTGTTTGGGGGTAGCTTCTCAACACGGACATTGCTTAGTGGACGCAGTCGGCTAGTGAGCCCGAATGTAAATGTAGGAATGAAGCTCGGCTCGTAGGGCTTGAGGCGAAGGAGGATCACCTACTGCGCGCCATTTTTTAAATTGAAATTAAAGTCAGTGCCTGGATTGTTTGGTCAGTACCTTGCCCATCACTATCCCATTTTTCTAAAACTTTCCCGACTATAAAAATTGCGAGGTTATTAATTGAAACCCCGTTCCTTATTCAGTCAGATTTCTGCACAGGTATCAAACTATGAAGCTTTGCCGTAATTGTCATAAATTGTTTTGCTAAATCAGAGCGGGTTTTTTACAAGGGCATTTATTGAATTAGGGTTGGAGGAGGCGTTTAGTTTTACAGTCGCTGAAAAATTCGCTCTTTGAGTGCTAGTCTCGTTTTGAAGGGTTATCAGGGACATGTATGGGTTTCGAGTGCACTTCCGAGAATTATCATGTGCAGTTCCAAAATAGTCAAGTCTTAGCAAGTGCAAATGCCTAAAAATGAAATTGTACAACCTCGTCCCATAGTAATATTCACATAAACGGTTTAAACAAGTCGCTGGCGAAGTTGATATTCCCTATGCAGGGTAACAGTAGAAATACGATTAGAACAAGGCAACGAGCAGTAAAAAAAATACTGAGAGCGCAGCCCGCCGACTATATACTGCGTTAAAGGTCCCTTTACACTCTGACGTGTCCCTCGACAATGCAATTTGCCCGTATCGCCCACGTTCGGCACCTCAAGCATTTGCACTCGCTAATCCATCGATTAGCAATCGAAAATTATCTCGTTTCGGTCTTCAGTAAGCAAAAGTGTGTTTGACGATCGGTGGACGGTTGAAGAAAACAACAAAAACATGCTTTCATACGTGTAGCAGTAGCTCGATGCCATACGTGATTCGTGCATATTTCGAGTTAGTGATACTTACAGCAAATGTGCATTAATAATAGGCAGCACTAAAGTGTACAGTATGTTTCAACACATTAATAGCAACCCTTTCGTGGCATGACGGTAGTGTTATTATTAAGTACTTCTGAAGCATTAAAAACGGGAAGTAGTAGTCAGCATTTTTTAGGCGATCACGGCATTATTTGACTTCTTAAATAGCCCCGTCTTGTTTTCTTTGTTGCAATGAATAACTTTTGAATGACCGCGACATCTCAACGAGGGCGTAGGGAAATAAAGAAGGCGAATTTACGGTACGTGTGCGGAGCAGACGGACTTAAATTCAAAACAAAATCCGGGGTTGATGTCCAGGAGATCTGACTTGCATGTTGATATAATTTATGCCAACTCCTCCTGCTCCATGCATTGTGCCAAAAAGCATAGCAAGACACGGCGACTAATCATTTACTGAACTGCAGGCATTAACAGTGTGGATCGATGTAACAAAAAACAAATACTTATTCTAGCTCTAAAACCTCTTTGAATTAAGTCGATTAGACGGCGTGTTTTGACTACTGCAATTGTTCTCTCACATCCGAATTTGTATGCTGATCCATCACCAACTAGCCGGGCACGATGGCCATTCTGCCAGCATTCCGGGTTCCCATCGTGAGCTTCCTTAGTGGGACCAGTAATGCTGTGCGCAAGGAGCTCGCTGCTCCATCAACCTCTGCTGGAGACCTCTTTCGGTCGGGAAAACTGTAAATTATGGACATATCCTAACCGAAGCTTGCGGGCAATGTTCAAGACCTGCTGAACGGGCACAAGCTGGACGATTCAGGTGCTCCTCAATGGGATCTCACCCCTGACCAGCGACGCCTTCTTAAACAGGCAAAGGTTATCGTGATCGACTTTGAGTGGTCACTGTTCACCGACCCAAACAGAAATCTGCTGCAAGCCAAGCAAGGGATTCTCAAAAATATCGAGTGGGTACAGGGCACCTATGCGGGAGTTGAACAGTACATGAATTGACTGCTCAAAAGCGAGAAGACATCGATGGCTGAAGCGATGCCCGAGTTTACCCTGACGAGAGCGGGAAGGTTCTTCCCTCACGTCATGAGTGATCTGGATTCTCGTATCCGGCTGCACAAACCGTGTCTGTCGTGCGTCTACAACTGGATTTTCCTGTTGTCAAGACGTACCCACGTACCCTATGTCAAGACGTACCCTCACGCTAGCTCTAATTTGCCTAATTGAATACAGTTCAGTTCCTCTTTTACTTCCTAAGAACCATAGCTAAGAGCAATGGGGCAATATGTCCTTGGTTACGTCACGTCGTTCGAGTGGAAAATACTGGAAGCTATCGACTTCCAGGCCAATCAGGAATATACGCGTCCACAAATGGCTTCTTTTAGACCCGCTTAAACTATGAAGATTGGTGTACTGGCCTTGGAGACATCAGAAAGGGTGTCGGCAAGAAGCGGGCTGCAACGTACTCAGCTTTAAACGTCGTGTTGATCCGGACCAGGAATTGGAGTTGGCCTCCTGTGTAGATGGAGTCACCTCTGATCTGAGCGAAGTGTTGTCTCAAAGCGACTATTTGGCGAACGTGCTGCCCAGTACTAGCTTCACGCGATACTTCCTAAACGAGAATTCTGGAGCTTTGGCGAGGACGCAGACCGGTGTTCATAAACGTCGAACGCGGTGATGTGGTAGCTGAAGAGACAATTATCAGCGCCCTAGACAATGGTATATGGTCTCGTGCTGTGCCGGGTGTGTATGAGAAGGAGCCACTGCCACCTCAAAGTGGACTGTGGTCACATCCATTCGTACTGCTCACCCCCCGTACCCTTTAGCAGAGGACACGGCTAGCATTTTCGTGGCCAATTTCAATTGTTATCTACGTGGTGGGACCATGACCTACAAGTTGGATTGGGCTACAGGGTACTAGCGATTAAGTCTTGAAGAAGCTCGCTTCCTTCTAGGGAAAGGTGTGGAGATCGGGGTTACGGAGTGGTGTTATTTTTATAATACTTTACCTTCGCTGGATACAACAGATCGCTTGGTTTGTGGGTGCGTAGCAAGCCGCAAAGGTTTGAAATCAACGAGATTCGCGTGCTCGAGACGCATTATCCAGCCGCAAGAATACTTATGTGTCACTTCCATGTGATTAAGTACTTGAAAGAGATGCGTTCGAAAGCAGATTTTGGGAAGATATCTGGGGAGGACGCAAGTCAAGTAGATGCTATCGCTCACAAAATGGTTTACGCACAATCTGAAGCTCGAATTATGCTTTTCTAAAGGGCTTGTGTGAGATGATTAAAATGTTGGCATTTTGGGACTACTTCGAAAAGAACTTGAGTGGTTGCCAAGATCGATGAGCCATGTATCGGCGTCAAAACCTACCACATTTTAAGAATCACACAAACAATCGGCTTGAAAGCTTTTTTGGAAAGCTCAAGGACAGTATTGACGGCTCTATGGGTATGTCAAGCTGTGTTAAGGCTTTACTGGCCTGCGACCGTCGCAAGGAGAATGAGTACAAATGTCGACTATCCAGAATTGGCAGGTTTGTGAGCTTTAATTATGCCGAAGAAAATGCCAGCACCAATATGCTCGCGCACTCGAAAAACTTGAAGATTACACTTTTACAAGAATGTTTCAAGATCCTGACATCGTTGGAGTGCGTGGAGACTCCAGACACTACACGTTGAGGCTGGATGATTGGCGATGTGAGTGTGAGTTCTCTATTTCTATGAGTCTTCCCTGTCGACATGCAATCGCATAGAGGAAGAAGCATTGTGTCGCTGGACCGTTGATTCCCTAGAATTGTATCCACGAAAGGTAAATAGAATCCAGGATTTATTCATGATTATTCCAGTATTAATTCATGATTTGCTTGTAGGTGGACAACACCTGCTAAGCAGCTGAACAAAGCCCGTCGTTTGCATATGGGAGGCTCGATAGTAGTGGAGAAAAAAAGGAGATAAAGACTGTGCGTTCTCAGGCTGAGCGATACCGAGAAGCTGTTAGGGCGACCCAATAAATCGCGAACGAGCTGGCAGACATTGACAACGACGACGAGTTTGAAGAAATTCTGAAATTTGTTCTCAGCCGATGGAGAAACGTTAGCCAGTGCAGTATTACTACACCTTTGCCAATCCAAACTGGTGGTAGTGTAAACCAAAACGGAGTGAAGTAACCGAAGTAACATCTAAATTTGAGGAATAATTTTACAAAATTAGTTCTTAGAGCAATGTAGATTTAGTGTAGTACAAACTGGCAAGAACGCGAGTGACACATCCAGCAATACGAACTACGGGCGCGCTGCGGACTGGGACTACACACAAAGATGTAAGGGGGCGTGAAAGCTGCGTATGGGCGCCAGAACACGAGAGTGTGGGTGCACACAGTGACCTCTCAGCTTGTACAGCCTGCATAATCATCGATGGAGGGACCAAAACGGCCAGCGACCCAATTAGACAGAGTACATCAAGGATGAGAGCTTTGGGCTGCGCTTGCAGACCGTGGGGAATGGAAGGAGAAAGGGTTGCAGCTCTGAGTTTCCTTCTCAAAAACGGCGCTCAGCGATTGACGTGGCATCAAGCGCTCGTGTTGGAGCTGCTTGCCTGGACGGTCAGCGTTAAGAAGAGTTCTACACTTCTAACGGCGTCCGGTGCGGGGCGCCCGTGGCTATAGCCAATGCACTAATGTAATGTACGTGGTGGATGTGCAGTACTTTAAGAATTGTAGAAAACAAGATACTGTTATCGAGGCGACCATCGAACAAGATATATTCATCATTTTGCTTTACACTAAATTCGTATTGGTCTGGAATAATTTTGGGGATTTCTAATTTGTTAAAAAAATTCCAAATAAGGGACACTCCGTTTTGGTTTACTCTACCACCAGTTTGGATTGGCAAAGGTGTAGACATGACACACCCGTTGGTGGAAGGGCACCTATATCAGCAGGCGACAGCGAAGCTTTAAAGGCTGAGTTTGGAATAAGCAGTAGTGAAGAAGACGACTACGGAACGGGCGATGATTAGGAAACGGACGGGTCGTCAGTGAAAAAAAAACGCTTGAGCCCAAAGTCGAAGAAGGTTGGAAGACCAAAAAAACAGAAGTCGGAGGTAGCTGTTAGTGAAAAGTAGACCGGAAATGGTTTCCAGCTGTGGAGAAAGGTCGTAAAGCTGCTGGCGAAATAACGCTGAACGATCTTACGTCAGCGTTGGAGCGGGCTGAACACTCACTGGTCGAGACACAACGGCGGTTGTCAGGAGTGATGATCAAACACGGTGATGGGCAAGCGAAGAAACCAAAATCTAAGAGACTGAAGAATCCTGTATTAATCATGGACGCATTTTACGTACTGCCGTAGAAGCTTCTAGAGGCGTGTTTGAAGCTGCTCCCAGTAGCAAATACCGTAGCAAGCGCGATTACAGTCGACGAAGATGATTCCATGAAGAAGACACCAGCGAAGGAGTTGATTGAGTGTGTGCAGATCAAAGGGATCGGTACTTTTTCTCGTGGCCACATCGAGTTGATCAAAAGAGTTCAAAATTTGAAGGACACCGTCCAGCTCGGTGTAGACATGAACAAGTGCCTTATTATATCAGCTCTTCCTTCCCTCCCTGCTGAATACCATGAGCTGGCAAGAAGAGTCGTCAAACAAATCGTGGATACATTTCCATACAAAAGTCTTTCTGGGCTTTCACATCTTCAAGAGTATCAGTACTTGTTACTGTATCGAGCCACTCCACCTACTTGGCTATCCCGCGCTGCAATTCGAGCTCTGTGCAACCGCTTGGTCGTGAATTTCCCCAAGTGCAGATTTGCTGGATTTGTGTATACAACTACCAAGAAGAAGAGGACTCGGACAAACGTGGAGACACCGATGAAAGCAAGTGTACGAGATCGTGTACTGAAGCAAGTAGCTGAACCAGAAGTGGATACAGTACTGCTTCCGCTGAATTAGTCAATGATGGGCGACAGTTTGTCCTTGAACGAATTGTAGACCCCGATATCTCCCGCGAGCACGTAGGGTGTCAGTCCTCCGGGGATGACGAACATCCGCACCCCTTTCGCGGCGCACCGAGCCTTCACCATCTTAGAGTTGTGTGCACGCATGCTGTCCCAGACCAGCACCTTTTCCTGCGTGCACGTGTCGAAAATAGGTGGAAAGCCTTAGATTCAGCCAACGAGTGAGAAGCGCCGAGTCGACCCATGCCTTGGGTTGGTTTACTACGTAGACGTTGCCGTAGCGCTCTATCTTGCGATCCTGCTTGGCCCCTTTCTAAATAACCAGCGGGCGGCCGGTCGCCGTGACGGCCTGCACAACCGTCACTTGCATTGAAGCAAATCCCGTAGAAGTTAGCACGACGTGGCGAGCTCCAACTGGGTCCACCGTCTGGCGGCGCGGTTCCTCGAAATCGACTGCCATCTCGTCCATCAGGATGAGCTTCTTCTTGCGGCTTGCAGCAGAAACAGTGTTTGAACTCAACTCAAAACGAGAAAATGCCCTCAACTACGCCCGTAAAGCCATGATTAGATGTTTATTGTCACTTGATATTGATGGGTCATGGAAAACATCTCAACTTTTCCCACATTTACAAGAGATTATAAGGAAGTTTCCAGAGCACTTTGCAGGTAAGTCAGTGGATGAAAGCGAAGAAGTAGTCTACGTTGGAACGACAGAGTCAGTATGGAGGACAAGCACACACGCAGAGTAAATGATGAAGAGGATAACGAGAAAAAGTCGGAAGAGGTGTGCGAAGCAGTGGTATAGTGACTAATTTTGACATCAATACACGTACAGCTACGTCATTTTCGAGCTCTCATTAATTCTGATTGTCGTCAAATAATGTTGGTGTGGCTATTTCTTGACTGACAGCAAATAACGTGTGTGCATAAATAATGACACTCACACCAATTCATGTAAAGATTTGAAATTTATCCGTACAAAAAATATTGTGAGTGAGACTAATTACGGTAACCACTGTATATAGATTACGCTGATGTGTATAGGATCGCCATTTCGTAATGAGAATTTACTAGACGTTTAGTATTGTGCTTTCCAGATGGAATGTCCATCCGTTTTATAGCCTAGATCGAGCATGGTCGGAGCATAAAACCACGCGTAAAAATGAGATGGGAAGAGGCAGGCATCGATTTGTTTTATCTGTGACCGATTTACCATTTCAAAACACTGCTGTAGCTCCATTAACCAGCCGGTCTAGATAGATTGATTTGTACTTTTTATAGACCTCGATTTAATAAAACGATCTCTATTTATTATAAATCGAGCATCAGGCTAAGTGAAAAGGACAAAAGCATTGAAATGTACAATAAAATTTCGTGAGTAAACCTACGAATTCCGAAAAATAACAGAATTCCTTCCAAATATGAGCCCAAATTCATGTTGTTATTTGCTTGCTGGTCGCTGTTATGAAGACGCAAAATTTTTAGCGAAAAGAACAATGACTCGAGCTTTAGAATAAGGGTATTTAGACGTTTATCAAGCTCATGTTGGTAGTGCTACTTTCAAAAAACACAATCCCTATAAATTGGTGGGACAGAGAATATTTATGTTGCATGAACGTTGACCCAGTTGACGAAAAAATAATCCTCGTTGGGCTTCCCATAGCTGGCTTACGCTACCTATCTCCCAGTATATATATATAAGTGGCCTATCCGGATGCTCCCTGATGAAAAGTTTGCATCTCTCGTGAAAGTACTACCTCCGTCCCACAAGACATTTTAAATTTGGCTCAAATGTGGTGAAAATTGAACTAATGCTACGTTAAAGCTCCTCTACGTTCGATTGTAACTAGAACTTTCAAAATACCTTTGTGATGGTTGGACGATCCGCTTAGATGCGTGAAGAAGCTTGATCTGTAATTCGGCCTTTCTTATTTCCAGCTGCGAAAACAAAACTAAAAAAAGGTCA